TGACCTGAGGGGTCCACAGAGGCACTCCAAGACTGTTTCTCACCACAGACTGGAGTGTGTTTTAACATGCAACCACTAACCTCAATGAGTACGCGGAGACTATCACGCCCGACATAAGGAAGTGCATGGATGATGATCACGGTCACCAGAACCATCACCATCCGGGCCAATCAGAAACCATGGCTGACAGGTGAGGTCCACAGGCTCCTGAGGGCCAGGAACACTGCCTTCAGAGCTGAAGACGTGGTGGGCCTCAGGACTGCCAGGGCCAACCTGTCACGAGGCATCAGACTGGCCAAAAGACAATATTCAAGGAGGATTGCAGACCAGTTCAAGGACAGCAGAGACACCAGGAACCTGTGGCAGGGGATCCAGACCATCACGGACTACAAGCCCTCTCCGCACACCTGCGACAGCTCCATCCCTATGCTGAACAACCTGAATGACTTCTTCGCCCGTTTTGAGATAGACAACAACACCCCAGCACAGAAGACCCTACCCCCTCCTGGCGACCAGGTGCTGACGCTTTCCCAGGGTAGTGTGAGGCGTTCCCTCAGGAGAACAAATGTACGGAAAGCGGCAGGTCCTGACAACATTCCTGGTCGCGTCCTGAGAGACTGTGCTGAGGAGCTCACAGATGTTTTCACAGACATCTTTAACACCTCACTGAGCCAGGCTATTGTCCCCACTTGTCTCTAAGCCACCACCATCATCCCGGTCCCGAAGAAGTCGTCCCCCTCCAGCTACAATGACTACCGCCCGGTCGCACTCACCCCCATCCTCATGAAGTGCTTCGAGCGGTTAGTCATGCAGCACATAAAGTCTGCCCCCCGCCGCCCACCCTGTACGCCTACCAGTTTGCATATCGGCAGAACAGATCGACTGCAGATGCCATCTCCACCGCCCTCCACTCAGCCCTCACCCACCTGGAGACCAAGAACTCACACGTCAGAATGCTGTTCGACTTCAGCTCAGCATTCAACACCATCAGCCTGCAGCAGCTCATCCACAAACTGGACCACCTGGGGCTCAACACCTCCCTGTGCAACTGGCTGTTGGACTTCCTGACGGAGAGACCACAGGCAGTTCGGGTCGGCAGCAACACCTCCAGCACCATCATGATGAACACAGGTGCCCCACAAAGATGTATGCTGAGCCCCCTCCTCTTCACACTGCTGATCCACGACTACACTCCTTCGTCCAGCTCCAATCTCTTCGTTAAGTTCGCGGATGACACGACTGTAGTGGGTCTCATCAACAACGACGATGAGACAATCTACAGGAGTGACGTGAGCAGGCTGGCCTTGTGGTGTAAAGACAACAATCTCCAACTTAATGTGGAGAAGACAAAGGAGATTGTTGTGGACTTCAGAAAGACGCACTCCCAGCATGCTCCACTGACCATTAACGGTGCCACAGTGGAGAGAGTGAGCAACACAAAGTTCCTGGGAGTGCACATCTCTGAAGACCTGTCCTGGAGCCACAATACCTCATCACTGGCCAAAAAAGCCAACCAGCGCCTGTACTTCCTCCGCAAACTGAGGAGAGCAAGAGCCCCACCCTCCATCATGCAGATATTTTATACAGGCACCATTGAGAGCATCCTGTCCAGCTGCATCACTGTGTGGTATGGTGCTTGCAGCACTGTGTCCTGCCAAAAGACTTTGCAGCGCACCGTGAGAGCAGCTGAGAAGATCATCGGTGTCTCTCTCCCCCCATTCATGGACATTTACTACTCCCGTCTGACCCGCCAAGCCATCCGGATCGCAGGTGACCCCACCCACCCATCTCACAGCCTCTTCGGCCTGCTGCCGTCGGGAAGGAGATTGCGGAGTCACCGTGCCGGAACCAGCAGGCTCAAAAACAGTTTCTTCCACCAGGCGGTCAGGAGACTCAACTCCCTCCCTGCTCTGCCCGCACTCCCCGCCCTCTGTCTCTGCCCGACCCCTGCCTCCTGTCACAGACTGTGACCCTCCCCTCATCATCCGACATCTGCGTATTGCACAATGCACTACCTCACTTTACCCACAATAACCACAAGTGCCATTGTTTATGTTGTTTATATTGTTTATATTGTCTATACTGTTCATACTGTTCACATTACATTCCATTAGCTGCTATCTTGTCTTAGCTGTGTGTTTAATGCACAGCATGTTTGCACTGAGGAGGATCGAGAGGAAGAAATTTCATCTATGCTGCATGTCATACATAAAGCATATTTGACAATAAAGATGACCTTGACCTTGTTTTTATTCTTTACTCTATCCTTTGTTTTTAAATTATGCACAACTCTCATTTATTGTGTAATAATCTAATTGTCACGTATTTGTTACATATTTTGATGCATTTATTTATGGTTTAGGAAACATTTTTGTCTTAATTTGGGGGAGTGGGGGTTGGAATGAATTAGGTCATTTAGATGGAAAACACGTCCCTAGATACAAAATTTTCTGCTTAAAAAAATTGTTCATGAATCCTTCTTCCACAAGCAAGTGACCAAGGACTGACAACGCCATTGCCGATTTCAACTTCACAACAAGCATCATTCTGTGGTAGAGTGAGTAAAAATGAAGCCTATTTGTTTTGTTTACATGTGGCCACTGAGTTTCCGGTTTGAAATGAGGAACTGACAAATGCTGCTGCTGATATTTAATGGTTATCACTTCAAATAATAATTATAATAATAATAATAATAATACATTTCATTTATAAGCGCCTTTCAAAACACTCAAGGACACTTTACAATCAAAACAAGAACAATAAAACCACAGATAAATTGCATGCGCAGAAGGTAAGTAGTAGTTGCCGTCGGGGCTGGCTTGTGGTGAGTACCACCGGTGCTTTTCCAGTAAGAGTTGTTGTTAGTTGTTCAAGTTCAAATCAAGTTCAAATCAAGTTCAAATCAACTTTATTGTCAAATGTGCTCTATGTGCAACATACAGCACGGATTAAATTTCTTTCCTCTCATCCACAGAACAGAGAGGAGCCGCTGCGGGTGCCCCATCAACAGAACAGTTAACATAAAATGACCAAATAATACAACACAACATATAAGACACAGACACTTGTGCAATTTTCACCACTTTTTCTGCATACACTTTGTTGTTTGAAGCAGTTATACATGAAAGAGGAGAGAATCAAAATGTCCTTTCACCAGTGAATCAAAGACATCATGCTGAAAATGTGCACTCGTCTGCTACAAGCTAAGTTTGAAAGCAAACAAGAAGCTGTAGCTTCCATTGACAAAAAAAGAGATTGGCTCACATCTCCTGTCCCATGTAAATCCGCTTCGATTCCAAGACACGACTCCCACTTCTACATACGCATCTGCGCACTACGCTGACGCTTCTTTCTTCTCATTGTTGGCTCCACAAGCCATCCATCCATCCAGCCACAGACTGTACAACAGCACCGACATTTCCGCTGAACAAAACAGGCTGTGAAAAATGCTGACCATTACAGGCGCAAAAACACAAGCCCTGGGGGCTGTCCAGCAACGACAGTCAAATGTGCTGGGATTCCTCCCAATCAAAATCAGTGCTGGTACATGCGTATTGTTAGGGAGGGGCCAGCCAGGCAGCCTCCTCAGCTAGGGTGCTCTGCACCTCACACCTGATACTCGTCAGCTCATCACCCACCTGTTGCCAATCTGCTTGTTTGGACTGGTATAAATTGGCTCTCAAACCATTCCTCAGTGCAAGTTCGTGCCTTCACCACCTCAATGAGCTTTGTTGGCATCACCTGCAGTTTCTTGTTCCATGTGTGGACATTCCCTTGTGGACTCCTCGTGCTTCCCCCTGAGCGTTTAAGTCGGTCCCAGTTTTCTCCCTGAGTGAGGGTTTCGTTTCCTGTGGACATTTTCCCTGTGGCTTCTTTGTGCTTCTTCCTGAGTGACTTTGCTAAGACTCTTTGATAAACTACGCCAAGTGTTGGCTTCAACTCTACCTGCCTGTTGTCGTGCTATTGGGGTCACATCCAAACCCTAACACGTATGTTTTACTTTTTGTGTTTCTCCCAGCAGGTTAATCAGATTAACTTCGTATTTGTGCAGAATAGTGTTGATAATACGTCAATGTATTTCAACACTGTTTTTTTTATTTTTGCAAAAAGCTGTTCCCATGGCAACATACGGTTTGGTAAGAAAACACACATTTTGAGGGTCTAAACATGCATGAAAACTCATAAAACTTGGCAAACATACAAGCTCTAGCAACAGCATCAATATTTTATGAGCCCTATAATGCCATTTGTATCATATTTGATACATGCATTTTCATTATGTAACTCATTCTTGATATTACATTGAATCATCTGTGTCAAATTTGATGCTGCAGGTTTAAAATATGGTTTTCCCCAAATTTTTATTTTCAGATGTAATCTACATAATGCTTATCAATGGAATACGACAAATATCTAAAGCAACATGTTTTGACAAAAAGATTTTTGTGGATTTTGTTATAAGGGTTAAATCAAAGATGTTTGGATTAATGGCTACAATGAGCACGTTTTGCAAGGCACAGCTTTTCGAAGCGAGGTTTGAAGCAGGACACAGCAACTCTCGGCTCCTGCTTAATGTGTAGCCGGGACCTGAATTTTAGTTTACTGAAGTAGCAGTCACAAAGCGGCATGATTGTTGGCAACATTCGGCACGTTTTTGCTGAAAAAAACTCAAGCGGCTTATCAGCGTGATTGGGGTGTAATGTCTTTAAGTGACGCCTTAATTTATTTGGCTTCATGCTCTCCGCTACCAACATTTTTAGACACAGTACGCACACCGATCGTTCCTCGTCTGCTAGCGTAGTCACAGTGAAGCTGCTAGACATGCCTCGTCATATTTCCTCCCGTCGAATGCTCCCTGCGCAAACTCTGCCAACGAGAGCACCACTGCCCCCTAATGTAGTGGAGGTGCAACTGCACTGCATTCTCGGACAGTAAAAAAAAAAAAAAAATCAAAATTAAAAAATAAAAAAGCATGTTCCCCAAGGTCAAACGCGCCCCCCTTGACAGAGCCTTGCGCCCCCCCCAGGGGGGCGCGCCCCACTATTTGAGAAACACTGCCCTAGCTCCTTGCAGTAAGTTATTAATTATGGATGAGAGGCAGAGAAGGTCACAAGGATATAAATTGAATTATTCAGGACGGATCTAATAACAGAATGACTGAGACTGGTCTGAGTTGTAAGAGGATATGATTCTTTGACGAAGGCGATACCCAATTGTTGCCTCTTGTGCACACACAGTGTGTTCACGCTGCTGTTGAATGTAGACAGTCATTTACTTGGGACATCTGCTGAAGTTGGCAGGATTTGGACATTTATTAACAGCCATGGAAAACTTTTGGATGGACCGAGTTGAGAAGTTTGAAGAGGCCCAAGCCAGGCAGCAACAGACTCATCACCGTGATATAAAAGAGGTTGGGAGAGTTTCTGCTGGTACTTTCATTTTAAAGTCAATTTATGGCTCAGTTTGATGATCAAGCCATGCCTCTAAGTGCAGTGAAGCAATAGATGTGCTGTACAGAGCTCAGAAGACCATACTAATATTGTACATACTTTTGTGCCTTCTAATGAGAAAGCACTGCCATCAAATGCTACCAAGCAGTTAGTAGCAGTTCTGAGGACAACTAAGAAGCCCATATTATGAAAGTATGAATGCTTATACTTATTATCAAAAGATATGTATGTTTTTCTTTTATTCTGATGCTCCCCCCACCCCCCCCCCCAAAA